TGTCGCATGTTGTCCTTTTTGCTGCCGTCGCTGGTCAATGTTGATGCTGATAAGTAGCAAAACATGAGGTCGCCAGTAATTATGCGAGTGTTGCAAGTTAATTGCAATTGTGTGCAACTGACGGTAGCAAGATTAATTAAATTCATACATGCACGCGCGCTACGCAACCAGCAACCAGCAACCGGCCACCAGGAACCAGCAACCAGAGGAACGTGCAACGTGCAACGTGCAACGTGCAACCTGCAAGCGGCAGGCAACAGCGTTTGAAGGGCTCGTATGCATACGTATAGATACCATCACTCAATGCCAGGCGAGTCAATCTGTTTATTTGTTTATGCAGCACACACATACCCACACACCCACACACACACACACATGCAGCGCATTGTTTAAGTTTACTAATTTCATGCGTGGCAATGTTTTTACATTCAAATCCATAAACTTGACCCACTCGCAGCCCTTCGGCCCCAACGCGCATTTGTATTAGTTAAGTGATTTATTGTCGCAAAATTGTCATTAAAAATTAATGATGCTGCTGCTGCTGCTGCTGTGCTTTGCATTTTATTGTAATATGATTTACATGCTGACCACGACATCGATCGCATTGGGCGTGTCAGACCCATAAACCGACCAAAGGCATTTTGACATTTAAGCCATACAATTTATGAACTACACACAATGTGCTCTACTTAAATCAATTGATAGCATTTAATTAGTGTTTGCATTGTGCAACCTAAACCGAAAGAGACTGAAAAACAGTGCAGGCGAGACAGTGAGAGGGAGAGGCAGAGAAGTCAACTTGCAGGTAAGCTGCAGCTGCTTGACACAAAAACCATTTTTGGCAGGTGGCAGTCAGCAAGCTTTGTTTGCAAATATATTTCACACGGACAAGTTGAGAGTTCGAGCAGCTGTGCTCATTTAATAAGCCCAATTACTATTGCCGCACCTATGTAAGAGCTGTTAGCCAAAATGTTACTTCTCATTGGAGTGACTCCAACTCTGCCAAACTGTCACAGGATCCAAGTGGAATGGAGTACCTCTGTCCATTATAGTATAGTGACTTTGGGGAAATATGGCAGAACCCATGAAACACATATAGCTTCAATCGGATTGAATAGCTGCGTGGATCTAGCCATGTCTGTTTGAAATCTTGAATAATTAATAAACTCATAAAGATAGCTTATCAGATTTCCCTCTTCAAACAAAAGCCAATAACAGAATTTGGGTATTTATAATTTCAAATACTAGAGTCTTGTTCTTTGTCAAATACACACATAAATGTCATAGTCATGCTCAGAAAAATCTCTTAGGTTCGAATTCGAAGATTTTTAACATTTCGTGCGCTTGTGAGTCGCCTGCATCAGCTCAGCGCAAGGTTCTGGGTATATCCCAGTCGGGCACTCCCGATCCGAGCACACCATCTCACTCCAATATTGTTAGTAATGTAATTAATGAGAGCTTAGCTAACCAAAGCGTCATTTTGAATAAATCGGAGCTTTGTTATGGATTTGCAGTGAGTCTGCCATTGCCTCTTTACAAATGGAATACAAAATTCAAAAATATTTTCTATACCTTGTAATTGTCTATATATATTATATTATATATATATATATATATATATATATATATATATATATATATATATATATTAATTTATATATATATATATATATATATATAAAGAATAAACATTTTTTCGACAACATTTTAAAATATTTCCCACACACACACAGATTGAGGCCATTACGAGCGAAATGAATTTATATGTTTATGCATTTTGGGCGCTAAATAAGCTTTAAATATGTATTAATTTAAGTCATAATTGGCAAATCCCTTGTTGCGCTGCGAATTTGGTTCTGTTCACTAAAAAGCTTTGGCGAACCGTAACAAATATGAAAAATATAAAACAGTGACAAAACCAAAAATAAAAAACATAATTAACGGCCATAGCAGACTGTGCAATGCTCTGTAAATTTAAATGGCAATAGGCAAACTGAAGATGCTTCAATAATTCTCTCTAGAGGTGAATAGAGGGTGGGTATGGGTAAGGCATTCGCCTTCTATGCTTTGTTTTAACATATATATATCTACCCTAAAGGGAATTTGTAACTTCATACTTTTCTGATGCAGTCCATTATTTGCGCTCGTTTCTTACTTTCACTTGGTTGTTTATTCGTGTTTATACGGGCAGCTGAACGGACACTGCACAAAGCCAATATACTCATGTTCGCTTTGTGGACCTCTATGGAAATTGTAGCTTGTGAAATTAATGCAAATATTTATACAAATTATTATGTGATATGGTGGCACACACACACGCCCACACACGCACTGCTACTCCTTTCTCTCCTATCCCGACTTAACAACAACAAAAAAGCTTGTTTTGGTTTCGGGGCTATTTTTCATAGTATATCCCAGGCGACGCTTATATACAATAATTTCCCTTTTGGCCATAAAAGTTTATTATTCATGCCAGAGTTGAACGATATTCTGGTGTTCGTGACACGCGCAATCACGAAATATCGCTAGCAGCTTCAGAAGTCATTTAACTTTCTTCAGCCCAAACATATATGCGCAGATAATTGTTGGACTTTAGAGTCGCATAGTTTCGACCAAATATATATACCAAAGAATAGTGAAAGCAACACCAAATCGCAGACAAATGTTGAGAGTGAAATCATAAATTGCCTTAAAATCAATCTTTCAGAGTCAACTATGCCTCGATCGCAGCTGAATGGAGGCAAGGTTGTCCAAGGCTGTCATCCCTAACATTGCACAGCCTAAATCCCTGTGAAGCCCTTTTGTGACTCGCTGCTCACTGGGCATGCAAACAGATGCAGTAATATTTTCTGCAAATTATGGCTTATCGTTGTGGCGCTGCGTATTGGAAGTGCACCACGCGCTCATCTCTATTTCTACTATGCTATTTAAACGTGATTTAAAATAACCACAACAGATTTTGTGGTTTCATGTTGCATTTTATGTTCGATAAGCGGGGCGTCAGGATGCAAAGAACAGACGCATAACAGAGCAGCGCAGGCACGGCGGGTATCAGTTCAATGATAAGCCAGAGGATGAGTGAAGGCTACTGCTGCTGCTGCTGCGGTCAGAATAATTTTAATCCAGGCTGCACGCATCTGCGGCATTTGCTAGAAAACTGTTGGCAATTCGATTGTATTATTAAATGTACTTCAGCAGGCTAAGAATGCCTCGCACTGAGCTACCCTGTAGGCAGCACTCTGCCTATGATGATTGTGCTTCACTTCCTCTCTTACTTCTTAATAACTTACCTTTCTGTTCCACAGTTATTTATAGGCTCATATCAATGCCGAATGCTTGGCGAAGTAATTCCAGTCGCGACTGCAGACTGAGCCAAGCTAATCCAGAGTTCATCATTTTCATGTAGACATTAATAGATCTATATACTTGGTGAGATGCTTCAGTGCCAATGCTCTTTAAACTCACAATTTTATTTTGAGAGAGTTTACACATAGATGTCTTGGATATTGAGAACCTGAATTGAAAACTTGTTTAGTTTCAAGTTTGCTTATTGCTCGTAGAGATCGAAGTTCTATGGACAACTAACAGACAGACTCATATTGATAGATTCTCTGTTGTTGAGATATGTAAACACATATATGTAACTCCATTCTTATAGAGATACAGATGCCTCAGGAGGCACGTATAAATAGTGATGCCAGCTCTTCGGTCCACTCATTCATGGCTGCTAAAGCTTTGTTGAAGCTGAAGCAAAGTGCGCGGTATCTTCTAGTCGTTCCTGCGCTGCATGTTCACTTTGTGCTTCTGTCTGCTCTCTGGCAGCAGTTCATTCACTGATTGAAGTGCTGTGCGCATGCAGCTCTACATGAAATAGACATTTGATTTTGCAACAAATAATAAGCATATTTGATTTATTTTGAACTTGGTAAGATTTTTATATTGACAGATATATGTTTGTTATATAACTATGTTGAACAGATATTGAAAGGAACATGTCATAATTTGCTATCAGCGGATACTCCATTAAAATAATTGGGCGGCAAACAGAAAAGAGGATTTGAGAAAAAAATACCTGAAGCGAGTACAATTTGTAAGGGGAGGGAGGGAGGAAGCCCGTTACTATTATACGCACAGCTCGATAGGCTCTTAAATAGGTAATATGTTATATATGTTATATTTGTGTGTGTATGTGTGTGTGTGTGGGAGGATAATCAATAGCTGATCCATACAATCTATACAAATCGTTATAAGTACGTATATATGTAAGTGTGTTCTCGATATAGTATATATATTATATCTTCGATCTTGTATATAGTATTTATAAATACAGTATATAGCACGGGTGGGTCTTGCATAATGCGTCTACTACATTAGTAACATTCACTAGCTGACATCTGTTCGGTTGTCGTTAATTATTCATTGATAATTTCTGATTATACATAGCTATAGATATATTCAATTATTACTAAAGTTTCATTTTACTATTCGTTTGATCTTATTATTGTTGCGACAATCTCACTGTGCCTCTTAAATCATTATACAATATATGTTATTTATATGTATTTTTATATATATACTCATATATATATTACGTTTATGATTTATGTCCATTTATGACGTTATCTTACTTATAAGTTACACAAAAAAAATACAAAAAAAAAACACATTTTAACAGGCGTCTTTAGGGTTCATAAAAAAAAATATTCACCTTAAATGCGTATTATGCTTATTTATGTATAATATATTTAAGAGGGTTCTCTTCATATGTATATGTTTCTATATATGTACTATATAAGTTGTGTGTGTGTGTGTGTGAGTGTGTTTAATTGCCGTTTGGTTATGAGTTGCCGATATTCCAATACTTTTCGCACTCTCTGCCAACTCTCCCCCTCTCGCTCTGTCTCTGTCTATCGCTCTTTTATTATTTAACTTTAAATATATATATATTTAGTGGAAGCTCCTTTTGCAAGCCACGCGTTACTAACGTCTCACGCTTAGAACTGAACGTTATGGCATTGACTTCTAGTTTTGTTTCCAACTGGTAGCTGCATGTATAGGGAATAAACAAGTAGAAAAGAAGAAGAAGAAGGAGTAGGAAAAGAAGAAAAAGAAGAAGAAATACATATAAAGTCCATCGAATAGTTTTAGCTGTCCTCTGTTTTTCTTTAAAGCAATCTGCTTAACTTATTTCCAACAACGAGCTTCGTCGGCTGCAACCGACTGCGTAATACTCGCTCACTGCACACAAATAGCTCTATTTACTACAATATATAATACAATATAATAAATAATATAATAATAATTTCTACTTATAATTGAGAGTCTACTAAAATGTGCTGGCTCCAACGATGCAAAAGCTTTAACTTTTTCATGTAAATATTTTAAGCAACTCATTAGATGAGCTTAAAAGTAACTAGAAAACTACAGAAGTTGAAGTTTTTCATAGACTTACAGTGGAATATATATAATTAAAATTGCAAGCCTTTATTTAATATATGTTTCAAAATATACATTTCTCTGCTCTATGTCTCTCTCCCTCTCAAAGACACTCTGTGTGCATCTGTCTCTTACTCTGGGCATTTATCTTGTACCCTGTATTTTCTCCCTCACTCTCTCGCTCTCTTCCTCTCTTTATCTATCTCTTGGCTTCATAAAAAGAGACGGACAGACTCTCTTGACTGCCTGAACGAGTATTACTGTGTCTCCCACAAAACATTTATTTGTTTATTATTATTTCTGCATTGTACTGATTAGCAATAAACTAACAAATTTGCTGTTGAAACTCAGTTTGTTTCCACTCTCAAGCACAATAATATAATAGAATAATATAATAGTATAAGACGTATATATACCTTTATAATAGACCTCGCGGTACATGGTGGGGCAGGCGGCCTTTGTCTTCGCCGTCTTGAAGTCAATATTTGTGCGAATGGGTCGATGCAGCAGCGGCTGAGGCGGACGATAGTTGTTGCCCAGCGGAGCCTTGGGATGGTCGGGACTGCCCTGCATCAAGCGGCGCAGTGCGTGCAACTAAAAACAGAACGAGCAACAAATACAAAATGGATGAGACTTAAATGAAAAGCGTTTCCAGAATGTCAGACTCCGCCAGCTTTATGCCAGACAAGACAATATTCTATTTTACGACGCGCTGTCCTAAAAGTGCGGATCTAAGAACTGCATTGAGTCATTTCGTTACTTTGTTCTAGCAGCAGGGCAAAAACTTAGCCCGAGAATAAAACATTTTCACATAACTTTAAATTGTTGGATGACAGCAAAATGAGGAAAAAAATGCTGTCTCTCATGAACAATAATCTGCCCCGCCCTGACTAACAGTTGGAGAGATGACATCAGTTTAAATCTGCCGGCCTCGAACTCTTCTATGAATTGTTCTGGGATTGTGGACATAGATAAAAAAAAACTCATCTGACATCGATCGTATGAGAAGCGAATACATCTTTGACTCTTCTTCAAAGCAAATCATAGCAATGTCTTTAGGCTGAAGATCCGTTTCAAGGAGCTAGGATATCAGCGCATTCCATATTCGACTATCGATACTTTCAAATTCCAAAATTCAGTGAATGATTAAGGCCATTTCACGCTCTCTGTGGCTGTTTCTGCACTGTCGTATCTGTCTCATTTGAAAGCGGCTCTTGGCACACTTCAGTGCAGTGTGGCACTCTAATTTGGTAAATTATATTTTGTTAGCAAGGTGCAGCCGTGTAGCCAGCCGGCTTTATTGGCATACATCACTAAATTACATCGTCGTTGCACATTTGTCGGTGGCTTGTGGCTCGTGGCCTGCTGTACGAATCGACCCCGTCCGCTATTGCAGGGTGTTATTGCTGCTGTCGTCTGAGTGCTCCAGGGCTGCCACAAGTTGTAGCCATGGTCTCTCGGGTGCCATTTCGCTTGTTGAAGTTTTTATGAGTCTGACTCGGCGGCTGCCTAGTCCGTCTGCGACTTCTGCTCCAGCCCGAGCCGCTTGTATATTCAGCCATGTGCAAGTGTGCTATAGCCAGCACGTCCTCCTCCTTCGTCTCCGCCTCAGCCTTCTCCTCCTCATCGCCATTCGCTTTTGCCCTTGCCGTTTACTGTATTTACACGTACGACGACGCCCGCTCCTCTGGCTGCATTCCAGAGCCTGCCTGATGGCCATGCATGTTGGCGTCTTTATTACGGCGCGGCACTTAATAAACATTTGCATTACATTTTGTGTGCTGTCTTTTTTGTTTGCTCGCATCGCAGGTACGCAGGCAAAAAGTGGCCATCACTTGCAGTTATAGTCGCTGTCTCTTTGTTGCTATTGTGTTCCCTGGTCTCTGGGCTCGAGTGGCAACTTTATTCAAAACTTTACTGAGCAATGCAAACGACATCACAAAATTTAGCAATTATGATATTATGAATCTCTCTAATTGCTAGCCAGGGGAGCCATAAAGAAACAATTGCTAATGCAAATAAATAATTTCTTGAAGACAGTTCGTAACTAGTTCAACGTGACCTGACATGGAGCTCTAATATAATCATAAAAGTGTAGATATTACTTTGTATATCAAATGACAGAGCTGCAGGCAAGCCTTCGCAGCAACCGTTGAGCTATCGAGCATGAGGCATTGGCTCTTGAGCTGGCTTCTACTAAATAATGTTTTAACGAGGGGTTTGTTTATGGAAGCCAATTTTATTTCATTTTGCTTGCATCACAGTTTAATATGTTGTTTCTTTTGATACAGACTAAAGACTAAACTTATGAAACTAAGGTAACTTTATGGTAACAAGAAGTTGTGGGTGTTGCAGCTTGGCGTGGCCTGATCTTGCCGTTTGCTTACTTGCAGAGCTCTGAGCGTAGTGAGATGAAGCTGCAGAGTGGCGTCAGCTTTCTCTTGAAAGTTTACATACATTGAGAGACAATATATCTAGTCTATAAGTTAGTCAGTCAGTGTTCAAATGATATTTAATTTCGTAAACTCCAGCCACGAGCAAGCGCTGTAAGACTGAGAGAAGCATCTGAGGTATGAAGAGAAAATGGATGCAATCTAGTTGCAAATCTAAATCTACGGTGCCAACTGTCTCTTAAATTAAAATGTCAGACTGACGACAGAATTCAATTGCCATTGCTAGATCAAGCTGTTCCGATAACTATATTTCAGCAGTGATTTAAGTTATCGATCAATATGGTAGGGGACGGTATGATATGGTAAGAAATAATTGAAAATATAAAGGAAATTCCAACAATGCAATATAAAGTCGGAAGGCATTATGGCCTGAGCGTGTTAAGCTAAATTCTTAAGCCAATATTCTGATAGAGTTTGCTATGAGAATTGAAAGAGACCAACACAAGTCGAGTCAGCATCGACAAAGAATTATACACAGTTGACCTTATGCCTAAAGTACACTCAGCAAAGCCTGAGGCAGCCAGCTGATTGCTGTAATATTCCGTACATAATGGCATTGATGGCGCTTCAAAATTAAACCAAAAGAGCCGTCATTACAATTTCCCTTTCGAAGCGTCTTAATTGATTTTCCTGTATAATACAATTTTTTATACAGCAATTTATAATTTCACTTTTCTCTCTTGCAATTCAAAGCACCAAATCATTTATAAGTCCCCAGATCAACTAGTGAAAGGAAACAGCCTGTTGTATATTGTATAGACACACTAAATTCAAGATACACAAATATTATTATTGAACAAAGTAATAGTCTACAAGGCCACGCCCATTTGAGACTTCATTATGATGATTCGGCACGATATATGGGTCTTATTGCTGTTTCGTAATGGTCTTAGCTCCGAATGTCTTACCTGTTGTTTTGTTATGTAGATTGGCTTATTAAGCACCACCCAGGTGACGGTCTCGTGGCAAGCAGGAGCTGTTGTCGAGCCATCGTATGTCATGTAGTGGTCCGTATCGGGCAGCAGTCCGCGTATGGAGAGCCGCTTCACAAAGACCTCGTCGCCGCCATAGCGGATACGCTCCAGCTGGTCGGTCAGCATGCGCAGCTCGGGATTGGAGAGGTCTCCCAACTAACAGACGGGCAGACAGTTAACGTATAACTGCTCCAAGCAGCACACAAGTTGCGTCACGACTTACCTGCAGTAGAATGGAGACGCCAACGATGCCCTGCGCCCGATTGAGGGCGTCTGAGAAATTTGCATATAGCTGTGAGTTGTAACCGAATATTTGTATCTGCAAGGTCGACGAGAAAGGGCTTAATAAGGCTGACGTCGTATATGTAAACGGATTAAATATTCTATTTCATATTCATATACTCATTTTACTTGTCAAACAAACTTGCTAACACTGAACTGCAAATATTTATATACACGCATCTATATGAGTTGAAGTTGCACATGAAGGTTTAAAGGCTTATAAAAGTTATATTATATAATTACATTTGCAAATTGATTAGGCAGTTAATTTGATGAATTCCAATTAGATAGTTCTCAGTACTCTGAACACTTTCAAGTGTAACTTCTTAGAGACGCTTAGTCCCATAATTACGTCTCCCAAATCTCTTTTGAATTCCGCATTTCCCAATCGTCTGTCTCTGCTTATTGCTGCTGCTCAGAGTTCCGAGGTCAAGGTTGGGCTTGTCTTACTGTGCCTTAGTATAAATAAATTATACTCTGATAAAGCTCCAAAATGCGCTTCATTTTAAAGTGAAGAACCGCACAAAATCCAAGCTGAGCTTATGTCTAATCATTGCCTCGCCCGTCGACTGCAGCGACTGGGCTTGCTGTTCATGCATTACCTGGCAGCTGGCCGAGACGTTGGTCGCTGTTTAATTGTGGAAGGACTTACCATATTCCTGTGAACATTGCCTATGTATCTATGTCTGTATCTCTGTGTGGAGTGTTATCGTTTGTAAAATGCTTCTACGTGTTGCCAACGGTACAGGATACGACACGAACTGGAGTGGGCAGATGCCACCTGCAGTCGCTCTGTAAGCTAGGCATCCGCGTACCACCCAATGGAATGTGCTTTGGGTAGCTAGGCTGCTGCACTCTCTCTTAATAGCTAGCTAGAGCTCTGCTCTGAAATGCTTTGTTAAATTGAATTTGGCCTCTAATTCATCTCATGGGCATTGCACTCAGACCACTCGGACTCCGACCATGCCCCTCTTGCTTAACGTTACGATTTTTTCAACAATTTGTGCTGTGAGCAAAATGCTTAAGGCCAGCTACGTAGAACAGCCAAAATCGGGTGAATAGCTGGACTGTGCTTCGTTGCTTTCACTGTTAGTTCTTCCCACTTGCACAAAACCTCCCTGAACCCAATGGACCCAAAAAAATGTGTATCGGAAATGCAAGACTACAAAATATATTCTTAACAATTTGGTTTCGGCAGTAGATGGAGCTATGCACTGAACGTCTTTTCACTTTATATCTGCATCTGCGAGTGTGTGGTATATTCTAGTCAGGCACTCCTTGCAACTGGCAGCGCTTGATGCAAGCAAAATAATGAAATTTCAAGAATGAATAAATTTAATGAATATTTGTATTATATTTAATAATTTCTTCTAAAGTGGAGGGTGGATTGTTTCGAGATTGTCATTGATGTTGAACTTTTCCGTCATTATTTAATTGTGAGCTCGCCTGAGCACAAAAAACAAAGCAAAGTAAGACATTGGAAATAGCCGTTTCAGTGATGCCTGTTCTTCATACAAAAGCTGCTAAATTTATTCTAAAATTTATTTTTTCAGTTGCTTTGCCTTTAAGTATCGCATAGACTTTATTTCTTAGTAAATATATACTCAACATGTGAAGCCAATATGCTCCTTTCATATGGCCAACGAGTATGAAAACAAATAAGTTACTCTAAGTTGCTAATGCTCATCTAGAAGATACTGCGAACACACACCCCCAGCCGCCGTAACAAACATTCAAACTTTCTTGCATACACACACACACACACACTCGCACACACACATAGCGAATCACGCGAGAAGCTGTGTGCTTGCGAGGGTCAACAACAGTTGCGCACTTTACACAGCGGTTCCACTGCATGCCTCAGCTCCGCACTATGGGAAATGAATTCTTAAAGTCGAATGCTTATGAAATTTTCAGTCCAAGGCTCTAGGACTGCAAATGTTGAGATGGAGGCAAAGTTATGCAAAAAGTCAAATATTATTCATTTAATTAATGTTATATGAGAAGCTGTCAAACTGTGATTTGCTATGGCCAAAACATGATATTTGCCACAATAATTTCTTTCTCTTCTCTAAATTGATGAATCACATCTCACACTGAACTTGCTACCTGGATAAATTGCATAAATTGATATCGAAATGCACTGAATATCATAAGTAAAACACGATCTTTGTGTAGATTGAAGAGCAAACTGGCAGGCAGATTCTAGAAGACTCTACATGAGCTACATTTCCCGTCGAACACTTTGAAGTTTGATTAGCAATTATCATGAGATCCGACATGACTTCCACACATCATTATATATGGCATATATATTCAATATTTAAGAGAAACATTGAAGGCTCTTGCGCCTTGCACATTACTTTCGGCAAGTGTATAAATATTCATTTAAATATGAAAACTACATGCTGCAATTTTAATGTGTGCCCAGTAAGGCAAACAAAAATGAAATTAAATTAAAATTTCTAAAGTTGTTGAGTGTTGAGCTGGCTGCCACAAAGAAGCACATGCAAATAAAGGAGCCGAGGCACAAACCGTAAATGCAAATGAAATTTTGACGAGTAAATTGCAACACAAATTGTGTGAGTTTATAGCACAGACTACTCGAGCCATGCAAGTGCTGCCAGCTCGTTCTCAAACGAATTACTTAGCCAAATCACATAAAGGCTACTCAGCACAACACGTCCTCGGCTGCTCTATGCAATCTGGACTCTTAAAGAGCTGGGCAACAAGGCATCAAATGTCGCTACAATTGAAGCGATTATAGCTTAAGCTCTTAAAAACCTGTTGGGCTGAAGCAAGAGTCAACTGAATACAGACGATTGACCAATTAATGGGTTAAGCGAAAAGATTCAGCAGACCTCAACTGAGCGGATAAATCTGTTCATTAAATCGTAATTATATTTGATATTTAGTTCATCAACCCTCGTAGAGCACACACAAACTCTGTGTAATCAATAAAAGTATAAAACATGTTTGCTTTTTTTTATCATAAACCTGACAATGTCTAAAATGACAATTGACAATTCAGAAAAAAAGAATCGGATGTTTGCTGCAGGGTATACAAACTATGCAATATTTACCGCAAAGTAAAATGTTATACTTCCGTTTCATTAAACAGCAAAGCGTGCGGCAGCAGCAACAACAAAATGTGGACGGTAGCAGCAGCTGCGTCTACCAGTAAATAGCCGGACGGGGTCCGAGTGCCAGCAGGCACCATACACAAGGCCTAAATCCCGCCCACTCTCGCTCTCTCTCCCTCCATCTCTAAGCCCAATTTGTTTGTCTGTTTGCTCAAAGAGAAGGCAATATACAAAGCAAGCTCTCGGCACGCTGCTCGCCTGAACAACATAGGCATGAACACACACAGCCACACACCCACACACACACTTACACCGACACAAACACACAAATCGACAAACAATCGGGTAGAGAAAAGGCAACTTAATCAGATCAATTACACATGTTTTTACTGCATGGATTGCAGGCTTGTCGTCCCTGCGTAGTCCGAGCCAGGTCATAGCTCAAGCCAAAGCCATGGCTAACAGCCCAGCTACCGGCAATGCCTCAATAACAGTGGTTGCTAATAAACATTCAAACGATATAAATTGTTGTTGGTCTGATTTGCCAATTCATAAGGAAAAGTGATCGAAAACCTTTAGCCAAAAGCTGTAAAAGGGAATAATTAACAGGAAATATCAATGCTAGATGGTGCTAGATAGGACTCTGGAGTCAGTTAAATAGAGACTTCTGTTGACAAGTAAGTTGAGCCTGACTGAAAATGCATAGAACTAGCCTAGAATTAAGCATGAAATGCCAAAGTTTTTCGAATCCATTGTTATCTAGATCTTAATTGGAATACCTCAGATCATTTGCAATTGGTATGACCGACGTCATTGAGCTAAGATTTTCGCTTTAATACACGAGTCAGACTAGGCAAACCTATTTGCTCTCTCTCGCTCTCTTTCTCTTTCACTCAGTATTAATACTTTGATCTCTGACATATCAAGTGTTCATAAAGATCCATAAAAGTATTTGAGCAGACTAATCAGACGCAGCCTCTGCCTGGCAGCTTTGCTTCAGCTATGTTATTTGATATGCTTCTATAAGCCTCAACACTCAGTCGAGTAGCTAAGCATTTGACTTGCTTGACTACAATCGCGATCAGCTAACAGAGATATATAGGTTCTTTAAGCGATCTCAAATTGTTCGAAATGGCTGTGTGAAGTTGCTCCAGAAAGCTAAAAAACTACATTCGCCCGTTGAGCACTTGGCGTCCACTGTGTTCACTTTGGGTGAAACTTTTGGATTTGTTGCGGAGGCAGAAGGTCGAGCGTAGTTTACTTAGATTCTGCTGTGTTGCAGCAGCAGCAGCCTGGCAGGAGCTGAAAGGGACTTGGTCTGAAAACACGGCCTCGTGTCAACACTTTGCCGAGCAGCCATGAATCTATTGTTGGCATATATGCCTATGGGTGTGCATGTTGGAGGTTTGTCAGTCACTTTTCCAGACAAATGAAGCAAATTAGCTTCACACAACACACAGAGAGGCCGACGTGGTTGGTCGGCAGCAGCAACATTGGACTAGACTGATGCTGGAGAGGACTAGCTCCGTTGGCTATAGCACACAGATCCTTTCAAGTGTATGCCTGGCTGTCAGACTTCATGTGTGTGTGCGTGTGTGTGTACGCAGATGTACATTTGACCAGCACTTGCTGCTAATTATGCGCTGCAGGAGCCACAAGTGCAGCAGTAAAGCAAATGTCCCGTTTTGCTGGAGTTTTAAAAAGCGCTCACACGAAAAGATGAGCAGGGATATCTGGCGATGCGTGGCAGGCATTTTTAATGGCTCTGACCACACGCTTTTTTCTATGCTAATTAAAGTAACTATGTTAGATGGAGCAACTGAAGTCCGCTTGCTCTATTGATAGTCGCCTCTGACGAAACTTTCTGCTTAGTCAGTTGTTTGGCACACCTAATTAAAGCTCACGCAAATTTCAAATCAAATAACACTCTTAATTTGTTGAAAGCGAAAAAGAAAAAAAATGCAAAAATCAATCCAAATTTCACAGCAACAGCTCATTACCAGTAAATATTTGGCCTCGTTCGGCGTGCGCTGGCAGTGAGAGGCACAGATACGGATACATTTGTATAGTTAAGTACCTCATGGTTAGCGCGTAAATTAATGGTTAAACCGTAGGTCACGTCGGTCGTTTTGGGTTGCCAACGCTGCCACGTTGCCGCGTTGCCACACTGCCACGTTGCCACGTTGCAAACGGATGGAGCTGCAGATGGATGGAGACCGCAGACACCATAGACCGCTGAAAGGGGATTGAAACGTGTACAGAAGCTCATTTGGCAGCAAGGATGACTACGGCCGGGTCAAAGGGGTTGGTGCAGGTCGGGTGTGTCAAACGATTAAATTTCAGCCACAAGACAAGTGCTAAATTACCACAACCACCGGCAAAAATAAACCAAATCAAACAAGCAACAATACCAACAATGTGCCAAAATAATAAAAAAAAGAAAATAAATATATATATATATATATATATATATATATATATATATCAAGCCTGAATACGCCGTCATTCTGATCTCCCCCATTTTTAACGCTGAAATCAAAGGCTTGTTTGCTTCAATCCTTGTATCGATTTAAGTGTGGCTTGGCAGCAAAATAAATCGAATTGCCAATTATGAATTAATTAAAAAGAAACCCCTCTCCGACGTGCTCATTAAAGTACGGACAGCCAAGATATCTTAAAGGCAAATAAAAATTTGTTTAAATTCTGACATATTTTCATTGCGACTTGCAACTTTTAATAAATTTGTAGAGGCAACACCCACATATTTATATGGATAAACGGAAAATGGTATTTTTCCTAAAGTTTTATAGCTAGAAATTCTTAGAAATGAACTGCTGTTGATCTCCTCTGTTAAAGTCTGATTCTCTCAGTAAAGTTTCTGTAGATCTCTCTCTTAAGATTACAGACAACTGGACCTCATACCTGCTGTATAGAATTGCCAAAAATAATGTGACAATTCGGAAAAACTATATCTTCCAAGCTAGAGTTTCCGAAATTTGACCGTTAAATTGCTGTGAACTTACTTTTGATATAGATCAGAATACATTTATTTTGGGTTTAAACAAGAATCTAAATATTTATTATATTTCTCGCTTTTTTGGTTTTTATTTTTGCTTACAGATCTGACAACATTAACTGAAATATGCCCAACTTTTACTACATGTTGTACTTGCAGACAGATTTGCCGAGCCTTAATCATAGTTTTTTATTGTTAAAGAGGCTTGTAAGACGCTCTCTGGAGCTTTTCATTACAGCTCCTGATTTATCTGACCATTCGCAACAATTTGAGTCATTTGGTCGCCAATCTGCTCTAGTGTGCGGCATGGTAATATGAGTTAATCACCATTGGCATTTACTAATTAGACGTATACGCTGCATATGCAGCAACTTACAAATTGGCAACAGCTGCACATTATGGCCGCAAGGACTGGAGCAGGCCAATGGGCCAGCGGGCCAAGTACGTATAACGAAAACAACAACAAAAAAGAAGAAAAAGGAAGAAGGGCGCAGGATGCTGGGCAGCAGGGAGCAGCAGACAATGACTGAGAGAAATTTGCTGCCATTTGTTGACATGCCGCTAGTGAGTTGCTTGGCTCAGTTGGCTCACCCATTATCTGTTATGGACTGGGCAGTAAAATCAATAATGATCATTTAACATAGCGCCATGGCGAGCAGAGTGTGGCCAGGGCAACAAAGGAGGAGCAGCTGAAAGGACAATCAGTTCCAGCTGCCTGAGCACATAGCCCCAATGAATCTGCAAATGGCTCGACAAATTAGCACGCCACGAGCGCGCCTCAAGTGGCAGTAGGTTTTAATCTTTAACCTTTCTCACTCTGTTTGCACTGCCAGCGCCGGCTTCCCGCCCCACGGACGGCGGATTTACATATTTTTAATAAACTGCCGGCAATTCAACTGAGCGAAACAAACCAACTCGACGAGTATGTGCCTCTGCACTCGATGACATCTAAATGGAAAACGGGGGCCGAAAGCATATTTGCCAAACAAGCTGAAGCAGAAGAAGAAGAGGCGTCAGCCTTCAGGCAACCAGGCAACAAGGCGAGCACATTGACTGAAGCGTTCACATATGTATCCTGTGATACACTCCACAAATCTGCACTGCAAGTCCTAGAGACGGACCATAAGCAACATGAGGCCATTTCTGAAGTTTCCCTTGACTATGTCGAAGATCCAACTGCTCACATATATATGCTCAAACTTAAGGCTCTCTTAAAGCTAGACAACCCGAAGTTGACTAATCGGAGCTGACTATAGAAAGTTCTCCATCAATCCTGTCGTACTCTGATTGCTTACGAGATTTGAAAATAAACAATATAGAGGCAACACCATAACATACAAATAGATATATATATATATATATGTGTGTGTGTTTAGTAAGCTTTTAATGGATAATCGGAAAAGAATTACAGCTCCACTTTTATGTCGAAAATTCTCAGATATAAGTTGCTCTCGACCTCCTCTATTAAAGCCTGTCACAATATTTGAGCTCAACTATACAAATTATGTAGTAAAGTTACTTTAGACTCTGGTACTTATTTTCAACTAGGCCCTCAGCATATATGTTTATGCGATATGTTATATATGTTTATGATATATGTATATATGTTTATGATATATGTTTATGCGGCCTCTGAGGAATAGGAAGAATCCATCTTAATAATAAGTACTTCAAAAGCGCTTTTTCTTATATTAATAAAATCGAATAATTGTATATCTACACTTGCTGTAGCTTGTCAAATTGGAATATATTTATATATATTTATGTATATATATTATATATTTAAGAATAAATTTCAAAATTGTACAGGCGGATCAGCTCCTCTGCGTATAGAGTTTTCCGTGGCATAGTTCACCAAAAAAAGACGTGACAAGCTTAAAAATATTTATTAAAAAGAGTGTTAAGTAGTTGGTTGCTCCCGACGGTAAGATTCCTAAATTTGCTCTTGTTAGTTTCGTAATGTTGATTAAAATAACACAAAAATAAAACAAATCAAATATATTTTATTATCAAATTATAATGTAAAGAGTTAGTTTGTGTCCGACTATAACTTACCCTAGCAACGCACTTTACTTTCATTAAGATTCCATTAGAAAAACCGCTTACCACTTCATGCATAACCAGCGCTAAAAGCTTGCAGCTGTGTGAAATGCATTTATAAGTAGTTTTTAAGCTGAAAATCAAATCTCCTAGACCCAAATATGGCAAAGTTCTGTACGCCACTCGCTGAACCCAATAGAAATGCATATTCAGGGTGTATAGGCTCTGTTGGAATGTATGTTACAGCCAGAAGGAGGCGTGGCGGGTACTATAAGGTATATATGCTATAGGTAAGGTGTGATATAGTCATGCCCGTCGTTCTGTATGTCTATAAAAATAAATTATGAATAAAAAATGCTTGAAAAAGAGCAGCAAATTTCCTCATAAATTCTATTTAAAGGCTATGTAAATAAACAATTTTTCGGCAGAACTTCAAGTGTTGACTTTAACCTTGATCAAATAAGCCGCTCGTTTATCTGCGTAAATATTTAAGCAGACGATTAACAAGCGGCGACAAGTGAAGTAAAACAAGTGGAGAGTGTTCTGCCAGCCGTCGTGAAAACTCTTCCTTCACTCATATTTAATATACTTATATACACACATACATACACATATATGTGTGTATGTGAAGTAAACATATTTTAGCTGTAACAATAATCCAGCTGTTTGCACCTATGAAAGACTTCTACGTTAAGCTGAAGTCCGTTTAAATGAATCTAATTAAAATGGAATATGTAAATAAGTTAAAACATTCCAACTTTTATATGCATAATAATGAAAGACTAATGCAAACAAATGAAATCTTTTAGAGCTTCGCTAATTCCCAGAGAAATATTTACTTTTGTTTATTTTTTATTTCTCTTTCTATTTTTTAGTAATTTTATTTATGAAACTAAAGTTAAGTGAGCTTAATTTTTTTTTTAATTGTTGCTAATTAAAGTGTGAGTGTTTTTTTATAATCAGGGTTGTGTTCTGTGAAAATGTATGTAACAGCCAGAAAGAGGCGTGACAGAGCCCGTTAAGCGTATGCAGTCTCGATCAGGATGACGAGCTGACGTTCGTATGAAATCACAAAAGCGAGAAACTAGACTTGGCTAGAGCGTACTTTTTTTTCGGGAGCCAAAGTCAAAGTTTAATGAACATAGTTGACTAATTTTAAAATAATTAAAATTGTTTTTTTTTATTATTATTTTTTCAATATTTTAATTGACTAAGAACAAAATTAAACTAAATTAAATAAATCTATGTATATTATTATTTATTTCATTTGGCAACTTTCGTTTTAGATAAACTTGCAAGTTTATCTAAAACGAAAGTTGCCAAATGAAATAAATATATATATATATATATATATATATATATATATATATATATATACTGCAATTTCACAAGAAAGCAAGAAACTTAACATTTTGACACTATGACATTATGACAGACAGCTGCTCAAGCTTCTCAGTTACTTTTACTACGCAGTCTTGATTTGTTGCCTCATGAATATCTTCTATCTACAATATATATATATATATATATATATATATATACATATTTATATATTTGCATAGACAAAATTATAGAGCTCTTAGTCATACAGTAAATAAACAACAAGAATCTGTGTCAGGTACCCGCCCTCGACTTACCTCTGCAGGGAATGTATAGCCGTCGACGCTGTGCTCGGAGCCAAATTGGTCGTTGAGTCCGTAGTGAATGTGTATCTCATGGAATCGATAGCGATATGAGAGTGGACCGCCAGATATGTTCACTGGCGTCTGCATGCCATCATAGTTGGCGACAGTATCATTGCCGGCCGTAAATATTACGCTGTGTCCGGTATTGCTTATAATTCCGCTTATCTGGTGAGAGAGAGAAGCTCCAGATGAGTATGAAGAACAGGTAATATAACGGAGTTATGCTTAAGAAGAAATGAAGCCGCTTATGCAGCTCGAACTAGGTAATACCAGGTATCTGCTAGTCGAGCATTTGCAACTCATTGCTGTCCTTGACTCAGGATGATTTCAATTAGAGTCTTCGCTTACCCTGTGCTTGTCGATATGCATTAAACGAAGATTCGGATCGAACAGCAAACGCTGTGGCTCCAGATTCACTGGCGACTGGCGACGTCCTTTATTACAGAGCGACCATTCCGGATTGATGAGACCCCAAAAAGCAGGACCTGCAATCAGAGCAGATGGGAAGCGAGACGAAAAGTGAGCTAAACACAAGTTTGGAAAGGATTTCGCAGCTCTCTTCCTTATGTACTTATAATATATCTTATCTAATATATTTGATAAAGATATTCTGTACATTAAGCTGGCTGGCAATTTGTGTGTGTTTGTCTAGTTGTGGTGAGGGCTTAGAGGAATCACCTAGTCGAGTACTTCAGCTGCCAGTTCGAGCTGTTTCGCTAATCTTGGACGACAAGATGTTCGCAAACTTTGCTATGCAAAATCTCATCAGCCTCTCACGTTGCATGGAAATGCTTTGATGCTGCGACAACATAGCTGCATGCCAGAGCCTCATAATGCTGCACACATGCAGCACGGCAGCATGTGGGTTGGACTGTCGGCTGCCGCTGGTGGCTGTGGCATCGAATGCATGATGGAATCAACACGTTCTGCCGCTTATATCAGTGGGCGCAATCGCAATCTTCAATCATAGATACGCCACGTACACGCATTTTAGCGATTGTTGACCTCAACGTCGGACCATTAGCTAGTCAACAGGACGGGCCCGGCTGCAGCTGCTGCTGAAGTCCATTAAATTGGGGCTATATCGAGTCAATGAGGCAATTGCCGGGCGATTCCAGCAGCCATTAACAACATTAGTGGCGTCTGGTCGTCTTGAGCTATGCTACTTTCTGCCACTTGCCTTTATTTGGCTTGTTGCAAGTACAAATAACGTTAAAGCGCCCTCAGCCAGCAAGCGCCGTGAAATCAAGCGGATTTTTCGGAGCATTAATTGCGCTTTAAGCGCGACCAAGCAAAAAGCTGCTGCAGCAGCTCCAGCTTTGCCAGCTTCTGCCACAGCCCCGCAGCCAATTCGTGGCACGACGGCCCTCCGGGCACAGTGGCACAGTCTTTTCTAACTTGCAACAACAGCACTTACGTATGTATGCAATGCTTATGCAAATTTATTCATGCCAAAGAAACACAAAGTTCGCACGGATTTGGCTGCAATTTGTTGACAACACGTGTTACAGCATCGGGAACACCGTAGCCGTTGCCGTTACCGTTGCTGTTGCCGTTGCTGTTGCCATTGTACGAGCTGTGCCTATTTGACTACTTGCAACACTTTCACAATATCGAGAGCTCTGATAACCATGACTCACATATTGTGGCTACGCAGAGAGTCCATAGCAACTCCAATAGAAAGCTCAACGATTACAAATTTTACTTTTTGACTCACAAAGTAAAATAAAAGTTTTCATTGTGCTTGAAATTCTGCATAAATTCTCTTGAATATATTCATTTCTATGTTCTCCGTAATATATTAAAAAGAACTCAACTTGTTAGCCTGTAGTTTCTTACCGCACAAAAATTATATTAAAAATATAAAAATAAATATATAAAAAATTTTAACCATATTTTAAATATTTGTGTAGCCCACATATAACTATCGGAATCGTTACGAATCGTACTCTAACGAAAGTGTGTCAAATTGTTGCAAAGATTCATTTGCTCAAGCTTTAAAGAGGCATCGATGGCCACCTTTTTGTGAGGCTGTCAGGTGGGCTGCGGGAGAGCATTGAGGAATCTGCGAGCATCTAGTACGTCCGAGTATACGGACATACAAGAAAAGATAGATCGCTAGAAGTCAAACATTTGAGTGCAGCGTAGATCGCGATTCTCATCCGCACTGAGTTTCATCTGCCTGGGTGCCAAGATGCTCAAACATCTGAGTCATACATATATAAAAGTCACACTAGATTGCTGTAGCTGACTTATCACAAAAGGCTGTTCTCATACTTGGAGATTCTCCTGAGTCCAGTCTGGGAATAGATACACTTGGTTAAATGTTAAATTCACTCAAACATAAAATGTAAATATGTTCCACAAGACAATTAAAGGACCAATAGCACATGTTAGAGCTGCACTTGCAACAGCTTTAACGTATTTATTGCTGATATTAGAGAGCATTGAGCGCAGAGTATGACTCGGCCGGAGGCACTGGACAATTGCAGCGAGACTGCTCTGCGCGGCTGGTTGTAAATCCGAAACCGAATTCAGAGCACTTGAACTTTTTTATGCATTTGTCTTGTGCAAATGGCGTCGCTGCTGTCATTAATGAGATTAAGAGCAGCTGAGGACTGGGCAGTTGAGCTGGCAGACAGCGAGCAGCGCTTAGATGGAACGGGCAGCGGCGGTACGCTTATCTGGCCTTAGCTTTTGCTTTTGCTTTTGCTTTTGCCTTGGCTGGACTGACAGACGGGGCTGGCGTCTAGCTGTAATCTCTCAGGACGCATTCACATTGCCCGCTTGACTTGAGACACATTGAAATTTTTATAACCTTGAGCTGAGCCAAGTGCCTGGCAGGCATCCGACTGCAGAGCTGCGTTGAGCTGGTGTATGAGGCCAGTGCAATGCTCCTCCATCAAGATACGGAGTCAAACAATGGACCAAGAAACAACTAAAGTTATTTATGGCCAGATTCTGTTGGCGTATTTCGTCTGCCTTCCATTAGACAGCTGCAAATCGTCTCCATTTCCGAAACCCCCGTCGCCAGCACCGTCTTCTCAGCGTGCCAGACTCTACAGCTCACGTGTGCAGTTTTGCTCACTGGTGAAATCGTTTTACAACAACAACAACAATAGCAACAGCAACAACTGGCAATACGAGAGCAGTCGCTGTGACAGGTGCCAGCGTGTCTTAATGCCAAAAAGTATGCTACGTTATTTTGCGCAAACATTGTTGCGAATGCCAGATACATAAGATGACGGAGACTATACGGCGACTTTACATACGTATCCGTAAGGGTGGCTAAAACGTTATACGACCCGCAGTCAGAGTGAGCGGCGCAAAAAGCGCAACTCGCTATTGTACTCTGTGTACCTGCTCAAGTAGTAAAAATAGCTTAAGTCGAGTGTTCGCCTTAATATGTAAGCGCCAGCTGAATATATTTGCTGCGACCGAACTTGCACGAAAATGTATTTGATCTTGCAACCGTGCATCAGTATGTTTACTAGCTGCAGACACCAAATTGGATGAGTAGACTCTAGCTGCACTTCAAATTTTGAAGCTCTTCGAGTTAGGTTCCTATTCACTTACCTGATATGCCATCGTAGGTCCACCACTCCTCCCAGCTGACGGCTTGCAGAACTGTAAGAAACACAAAAACAATTGATTTTATTGGCAAATGAGCGACACGTAATCCAGGCACAATTTATGCTCTTAAAAAGTTGCGATGCACTTGCGGCACCACATCAGGTAGCACAATAAGTCAGCGTGCCTCAGGCCCAAATGCACGACTCAAAGATACCCTCTTTCTTTGTCTTCCATTTATTGCTGTGAACTACCTTCCTTCCTGCCATACAGCACATCAGTTAGCTTAATAAATCAGATTTGTCTAGTCTTGCAGTTACCCTACGCATTTTCCCCTTGTCACCTACCCACACACACGCACACACACACACACGTGCCACTTACACTGGCAAAAGGCAAGGGAAGCACTGGCGCCTGCATTAAGTGCGCTGTTTGCAAAGTGCGTGCTTGTGTGTGAGTGTGTGTGAGTGTGTGTGTGTTTCTGTGTTTATATCAAAGAAATCTCGAATGCCTGCGCGGTAACTCAGCGCTGCTTAAAGCATATCTTCCAGCTGGGCACTTGCGACTAGAGCACTCCTCTGCGTATGACTCGTATTATTCAATATGAAGCCAATTTCAAGGCAGTAGAGTATCTTAAGGCAGTCAGATGCGATGTAGGTCCGATCTTCATATCTAACTTTCGTTATCTGAAATATGATTTAGGACAAGCTAAAGATCTTTTTCTAGCGAGTCTGCCAGTATAATATCTATATATCCTCGCATAGCTATAGCAGTTGACATAAGACCGACAATTCAAACAAATTATAGCTCGTGTTATATGCTTGGAAGAGTATTTGGTAGTGGACGTGTCAGAGTTGCTCTCGTTGCTCTTGATTTCTTCTTTTTTTTTGTGTTGACAACGGCTTTTCAGTGTGACTTAAAGCCCACTCTTTGCTTAGCTTAAGCCTGGTGGGTCTTTTGTCGCCTGGCAGGGGCAGGCGAATAAATAAAAAACTCTTGGAAATGATTTTTGCTTACTTGAGTTTTAATTTCTATGCGCTGTAATTTTACTTCCCTTACTTGTTGTTGGCTTTAACATACATCGCGGCACCTGCTGCTGAAGGCCCAAAGCACTTTGTTATTTGAGTCAGCGCGAAGCGGGCCAAAGCAGCGCCTTGCGCTTTGCGCTTTGCCCAAACCCGTCCCGTGTCAGGATTCACGAAAAAATGACGAAATGTTGAGTCATTAAAAAGTACTGCTCATTTCGTAACCCAACGTCTCACAAAGTGCAATGTAATTGTATTGCACGCCAGCGGGTATATCGACTTTGTCATTGCTTTAGATCAAGGCAGCATCGAAACGTTTACAAACCTATTTCTTCAGTTCAATATTATTTATAAATTCAAAATAAATATCCTAAAATAATTTTAGACAAAATATCATGGAACATTTAGTTCAGTTCTTATTCCAAAATTTGTTTTTGTCTATCATCTGGATACCCTCTCAGAGCATCTATGAAGCCATCTCAACAAAGTGCAACGTCTCTGCCGAAACATCTCAGAGTTCATTAGCTGTAGTTGTGTGTTGTTTATATATATAGTTATATATTAGTTATATATATGTAAAGACAGCTGAGGCTATGTGCGTCTGTTCCTGGATGGAGGTTTTCTCCTGAAAGACTTTGCTTTCTAGTTATGCAAATTAGAACGAGTTCAAATCGGGTATGCCATATAACAACTCATATATATATATAAATATATATAGAAATATATGTATTTATATATATATATATATAGGAGTTATGGGGTCGATTAAGTTTCCTTCTACATATTTCATATTAAGCATTGTAACATTTGGTGCGAAATAATAAAATCCAAATTCGCTGCAGTCGAGTTGCAAACCTCGTTTCAAGTCACGAAAAGGCAAGAGTTTAAAAGCTGTCGGGCTTTCAACAGTAATAAAATGATGACAAGCGCTGCCCAAGCTGCGCGGCTGACAGATACCCTCTACAATCGCTTAAGGCTTAGCTAATTCCTTCAGCTGAGCTAGGCTGAATTGTAAATTGAATGGATGTCCGACTGCATTTAGGGGGAAGGTTGGGTATGCTGGGCATGGTGGTCGTCCGCCCTTTGATACAGGGTATTCGAAACATTGTTGCAAAGTCATGGGTAATGATGGATATTAATGGATTTCAAAATGTTCGCGTCATTGCAACGCCAAGTGTTTGGGCTCTTGACCTCACCGACAAATTGTTGCTCCTTGCATCGAAATACGTTCGACTGGCTGCAGGGCCGCGCATGTTGGCGCCTTTGGCGCGTATTTTGCCAAATGCTTCGTGTTTAATTTCAGCTTAATGTTATTGTGAAAATGCAGCGCGCTTTTTCCATTTTCAATTCCAGTTCGACATTTAATTTTTCATCCTGTTTCCGGTTGCCATCCCTGGCCTGCACTTCTACCCCATTGCCCAGAATGCCACCCACCCACCTCCCACCTTGCCTTCTGCTTCCCACCTTCCGGCACCTTTTAAAGGGTGATGTGTGTTCTTTTCGCATTAAATGGATGCCTTTTTCCCCGTTCTGTTGTGTTTGCATTATGGTGCGCTGGTGTATGTGCGGCTGTTGCCAACTCCAACATCTGCTTTTTTATTTCCTTCGCATTGCACGGAAAACTTTTTGAATTTGCTCGTGCGCCATTTGAAGGGTATTTCCCAGCATTTGTGCACCTAGCGTATTTAGCTTTCTGTTTAATATTTCAACATCAATTAATGGCCACGCCCTGATCCAAAACTATATGAAGATGGCGTACAAGCAATTACTGTATGCGCCAGCCAACAGCAAACCAAGGCGAGGCAACAGCTCTATAGATCAGTCGATCTGCCAATAGTTTATACTTATATTTGGTGTCTGAGTACACTAAGCGAAGAACTACATAAGAACTTAGCAGCAATGCCTAACAATTCATGAACTTCTTCTTCAAGACTTACTTCAAAGTATGCCGCAGAGCTAGGTCAAAGCCTTCCTTCCTACAATAGATATGCCTTAAAGCTCATCCCACTCGTATTCTAATTTGTTGGAAATAAATACTTCATTTGAAGAGCTCTCTTTTTAGACGCCTTAGATCTTTGGGCACGATTATTATAGCCTTCCATTCATTAAATGGCAACAAGGCACAATAAACGGAGATGGCGGAGGCAAAGACAATTGAGCGCCAATAAAGTGTCACCATTAATTTCCGGCGTTGTTAACAAGTGTTCCTGGAAGCGCGACATTGAAATTGAAAGCTATTAGCACGCGGCAGCCGCCAGCCGGCAGCGATCGGGACGCTCGGCACGACAGCCCAATAACAATAATAGGCCAGAAACAATTAACGGCAAATAACGAAGTTTATTAGCTTTTCGCTGAGGAGCCGGCGGAGCTGAGCGGCGCATCATAAGCAGACAAAATGTAGACAACAAGTTCTCACGGCGCGTCGTCAGCGGCAACAAATGATAATGATAAGTATTATTTGTAATCAATAGTAAAAGGCGCGACAGCCACAACAAGTTGGCTAAGCCGGACTAGCCCAAAAGCACAAACTACCAGCCCAACCCAAATAGCGGGCTTTGAAGTGAAAAGTGGCTTGGCCTGGCTTGGTTGCCCTGACAGCCATTTAAAGGGGCATGCGACAATGCGACAATGCGACAATGCGACCCCCGCAGCTATATTTTATGCATTTTGTTAGCCTTCATTATTGTGCTCTGCCCGACCTGACCGTTTGCGCCCTTGCCTCCTGACCATGGACAGAGGCCGCGCTGCTATAGGAAACGTTTTCTTAAATATGCGTGGTATTTCTAATTTCACCGGAACGGGGTCAAGTCCAACTTGTGTATACACTGCACAAAAGTATATATGCATCCCCAGGTGTTTCTTTTATAATACCTTGGAATATTTTTCTACTTAATAAAAGCAAGAATCTACTTGAAAATATTAATCTAGACATATAGACAGATCATTTTTGGTCAAATTGTTTGAACTGAATTCGAGGTTCCAGTGTTCAGTATATAATGAAAATGAATAAAAATTCAAACAAAATCATATTAAGTTTTTTTCTGGAAGAGACAAGACGCCACGCTCTGACAGGACTCGTAGCCATATCGCGTGAATAGCAACTCAACGGAGCCATTTAATTGCTGAGCTACTAGGGTTTCACTCCATTTGGCCGAGTTTTACTATCGCCTGCAATTCATTTGCTTAGTTTATTAGTTTTCATTACGCGCCTTTTGCCACAGTCAGTTGGCCAAAGCTATATGCAAATTGGTTGGGGGGCTGGGGCCGGCTGAGAGCGGGGCTCGTGGTCTAAAATACACAAAAGCCGAGTGCGCCATGCCTTAAAAACCCAAACAAGTGAAAGCTTTCAATCATGTAGTTTGGTCGCCTATTATTTGCCCCCTGTCCATCATGTCTCTCTGTAAGGCACCGGCTTGGTTTCAACTTCCATTGCTACGCTGTGCCAAGTGACCAGCAGCCATTGCCACCGAGTGACTGCCCCGCGACATTGCCACACCTTGCTCTTTGATTTTTATTGAGTTTCTGTTTCGTATGGTTGGATGCCTGGGCCACGCCTTTGTTTAGCAACCATCACATCCTACTCAGCGAGCTATTCAGTTCAGCGCGCAGTTCATGCCCCGGGACCACCTCCAGTCAACCCCATACCATGTCCGTGCCCATGCCTGTGCCCATGCCCATGCCCGTGCCCAGACGCAGACCCAGCCCCCGGCTGACTAATGGTAAATGCCATTTCAATTACGTACACAGTACTAACATTTTATGCGGCCTGTCGCCATTTTTTGCTTTTCGATTTCCATTTGCGCTTTAAGTGCATTTGGAAAATGGCTAAAAATGTGCCAGCAACAATGCAAACACTCTCCGGAGTCCGGGCTGGGCCGGACCTTGGCGAAGTTGGTGCGAATTCGAGCAACTTTAACGGAATGTATAATCTTTATATGTGTGCAAGAGACTGAGCGAGTGAGAGCTCCTTCCAAACTATTTTTTGTTTTTGCTCTTTATATACCAAGCATATACCATGTACCCATATATATT